ATTCATCGCCTGCTCGAAAGTCAGAGTCACCAATAGAGAGAGCAGAGCCAGGCGAACTGTCCATTTCAAAACCAAGGCGACGGTAACAGAGCCACTTCTTTGCCGGCTGACCGAATGCCTATTTTCCATTATATTTCTCCGAGGGAAGGACTGTGCTTCTGATAAGCGCCTTGAGGATGTGTGAATCAGCTCCTCTCTGTATGGAATTGTTTCCATCGTTGCAGAAGAAACTGACCTCGGCAAGTGAAGATGGTGCTGAGTCTCCTCCGTTTCTCTTTCTGTGGCACGATCGGCCACATTCAGAGTATGCATTCTCGAACACTAATACAGCAGCTGAAGGTACCCTTGCTCTGCCGCCATTAACCTCAGCCCTGCGCTTCTTCCTCGTCGAGGAAGCCTCAACTTCTGATCGGTACGCCTACCCAAGTGCGACATAACTGCGACTTTACGCTCCGTATCCATCGCAACGCAGTCAACAAACGCAGGTGGCTGCGGCCCATACTCTCACACACCAATTAATGGGAGGACACAACAGCGGGCGTCAAATGCGCAGACGCTGAATGAGCATTAGCCGCCCATTACTAGCGTTCTAGTCTGTGTGTGCCTTTACAGAGCCTGGTCACGAACATCATTCATGGACTATGGTATTCAGTAAAGATGTCTGCGGGTCTATTACGCAGCTCTCAGGACCCGGTTCGGTCGACATAATTAAAGTCAAGAATGCATGCGCCAGCTATGTGCTATCTAACCAGGGTTTCCCACGTCTAAATTTGTAGCTGTGTTGAATGACAATTATGTGTCTTTATTGAATGGTATAAACGTTCACACTCTCGCAAACGTTCCTTCCATTGCAAAACAGTTTGAACAATTGTAAAATGAAACATACGTGATTGTTTTAAATAAAGGTTGCTTTGTTTTTCCCTGATTTTTGTGCCGTCTAAATTGATTTAATATGCTGTTTAAATGTCAGCACAACATAGGTATAGTGCAAACTAACCCGATCGTCACGAGCTACCAAACCGGCAAACTTTATGAAATCTGATGGCCAATAGTTGCAAACCAAAATGTAAATTAAAATCTAAATCTTTTTGTATTTTGATATGTATTTTAGATATTTGTATTTTGGATGTTATTTTAAAATGTGATTTGTGACTTTAGGTATATTTTACTGACGATGGCACATTGTTGTCGAAACGTCTAAAATACAAAAAGATTTAGATTTTAATTATCATTTTGGTTTGCAACTATTGGCCATCAGATTTTATAAATACCTATGTATAACAATACCGAACAAACCGGCAAACATTTCCCTTCTTAGATTTGTTTTACTACATTACTCAACACTTCGCAGTTACAGGGTGACACAAAAAAAAGCGGTCATCACCAAAATTCGAATAACTTCGGAAGTTTTATTCAGATCATCACCAAACTTCGGCCACTTTAGGTCACACCTATGTAGCAGACATCCACCAAGTTTCAAGTCTTCACTACGAATACTTTTAGTACAGTGTGTGTTTTACGGACGCTCCACAATGTGCTCCAGGTGAGCGCCCCGGCGCTGCAGGGCGTAGGCACACCTGCATCCGGCGGGCAAAGTTGCCGATAACCCGATAAGAATAACGTTTCAGGGGTAGCACACCCCCTGAGCACTGTCTCCAGAGGCCATTGCACTCTGTAAAGTGCACAGCCATCGGGTTATCGACAACTTTGCCCGCCAAATGCAAGTGTGCCTACGCCCTGCAGCGCCGTGGCGCTCACCTGGAGCACATTGTGGAGCGTCAGTAAAACACACACTGTACTCAAAGTATTCGTAGTGAAGACTTGAAACTTGGTGGATGTATGCTACATAGGTGTGACCTTAAGTGGCCAAAGTTTGGTGATGATCTGAATAACACTTCCGAAGTTATTCGAAATTTGGTGATGACCGTTTTTTTTTGTGTCACCCTGTACATGCCTAAAACTTCAGTTATTTCTTTTCAGCTGTTTCACAGATACCCTTCCTACTTGATATTATTTGTTTGTTAGACGTTTATTGCGTAGAAAATCAATTCACGGAATTTTCATTCACCGCGCTACGCATCGGGGCTGAAGAATTTGGACGGCAGCAGGAGGTAGGGCAGGACGCCGGCCACCCGCGACACTCCCGCCCGCGTCGAGCTCGGTCCCAGGAACTGCAGACGCTTCTGCTTCTCCTCTCGCTCGTAGTCGATGGCGGCCAGCACATCGTCATAGTTCTGCAGCGGCGTGCCCAGGATTCCGACTTTGGTCCGGTCCACCTTGAGCGACTCATCCTCCTCCTCGCCTGTCGCCTCTGCAGGCAGTCGGTGCGACAGGGACTGGCGCAGCAGCGGCGAGGTGTTGCGCAGGAGGCCGTAGACGGCGCACTGCGGCGGCGGAGGGCCTGTGTATAAACCGTACACCTTCTTCATGGAGACGTGGGCGGTGGGTGGAGCGGAGCGGCCGGTAGCAGGTGGAGGTGTCGCCGAACTGCCGGGCAGCGGGGGCTGCTGCTCCGAGACGGCCGAGGAGGGTGTCTGGGCCGGCTGGGAGTCCGGGCTGGTAGGCTCTTCACCTTCACCCGACTGAGCTGGTGAACTGGCCGAGTGGTCAGCGCTGGCGTTCGGACCACTCTCTGGCGTCTCCGTGTTACGTGTGCGGCCCGAATTTCCACTGGACACTCTCGTTCCGTGACTCGCTGCGGACACATGTTGAGAGGTTTGACGAGAACCCGAGTGTGGCGCAGGAGAACCATGATGCTGACTGAGGCCCGACGCACCAGATACGTGCCTTCGTCCACTGTTCGCACCGGTGCTTTTTCGGAGGGTCGTGTCGGACTGCCTCCGTCTGGAGGACCCGCTCATGGAGCCTCCCAGCGCTCCGCGTCTCTCACCACCTCCCAGCCGGCGATCGGATGTGGTGCGGGGACTTTGACCGTCGCCGTGGTTCTCGTTGCTGGCCGTCTCCCGGGCGCTTCCTGCGTTTTTGCCTGGGATGATTAGCGTTCTCGCTGAGGTCAGATGATCGAGAGGCGGTGGCACCGCTCGGCGGGACGGGTCAAACCCTGCTGTGCGGAACAGTCGGCCCAGCTCCCTCGCTATGACGGTGACATTGGGACGCCGATAGACGATCCAGACGCACTGCGCCACAAACGCGTTCAGCGCCTCGAAGATCTGTCGGTCGGAGGCGGCGGCGGACTTGTACCCGGCACCCTGCTGGAGATGGTGGAAGTCCAGTCCGCAGCCAAGCAGGTAGGTGCTGTAGATTTGACCGAGCTCGCTCACACACACCTCCATCCTTCTCCGGCGCCCGTCCAGCTGACTCGAGTTGTAGAGCTGACATTCGAGCTGCGCCATAGTCTCCTCCAGCCTCCGAAGCTCGAAGTAGTGGTGGAAGTACTCGATCGCACAGCCGAGGACTTCGTCGATGTGCGGCCACTCGTCGAAGAAGTTCGGGTGTCGGTGAACTCTTGGGAAGAACTGACCGACAGCTCGAGTGGCCACGCGTTTCACGTGCTCCAGAGTCACCACCCCGGGCCGCCGGGCCGGCCGGGCGCCCTCCGTCTTCTCCAGTATCTTCCGGTTGGGTCGGTAGTAGAGTCCGGCGCCGTCCCGGGGTACGGCCTTGGTGCCGGGGTTCGGGTACTGCCGGTAGCGCAGGCCGTAGACGCCGTACCGGTGGCATCTCCACATGTCGTCCAGCGGGATCAGGTAGAAGTCCTCCACGGGGTTGGTGGGGCGCGTGAACACGCTGAAGAGTACGTTGGAGCGTGCGTCCATCAGCCAGCGGCTGTGCGGCGGCAGCGGGCTCTGCAGCTCGGCGGGCAGCTCGGGGTCGTGCGGCGGCGCGACGGCGCGCAGCAGCGCCGGCCAGCTGCGCCGCCACCGCTCCCGGCCGCCCGCGCCCGCCTGGCGCGTCAGCTGCCGCAGCGTGCCCGACGCCGGCTTCTCGTCGTCGCTCTCCTTGATGGCTCGCACGGCGCGCGCGGCCACGTAGCGCTGGTACTCCTTCTCCCGGTTCTCCAGCAGCAGCTCGACGGCGTCATCAGGGTTGAAATCTTCACGCAGGGTACCCGAGGGAATGCCCGTCGCTGGCAGCGAGTCCTTGCGCATGCTGCGGTGAGCTGGAGAACCAGCCTTTGAAGGCTGATTTGGAGGCATTTCGACTGAGTGATGCTGCTGACTCGTTTTATCACATTTTCCGTCTTTGTATTTAATGACAGACACTCATTTTGAAGCAGCGCTGAACTAACATAATCCGAATTTTAAAATTTGGGATCCCCATGTAGCATGTCATATCGCATTAAATAGCCAAGTTCACCGTCTTTTCCTGAATACTCTCTTGATGCTGTCGCAACAAGCAACTATAAGTTATCGCCATCTTACAATTTAAAGTTTTTCAAAGCTTGCTGGAGCTTGGAGACCTCTTCAATACCTTCCATTGGTTTCCTCATGCTTTTCTTACTGCGAATGATATTTTGAAGGAAAGCATCGCCCCCTCTGGCTTCTTTTCCATCGTTACATCACGATTTAGCTTTATCTTCTCTTGAGTTTTAAAGATTTATTTTTTGCTCTAAACGTGAAATAAAAAGCATTGCTCTAGTCACACGAATCATTGAATTTGCCTTCGTGACTGATTACAGCCTTCGCCCTACAAGCCCTAGGAAAGCTATTTTGGTTTTGGCGCCTACCAAAATTTCAAAAGGCCTGAAATTTTGATTGTTTTGATCAAGTTTTGATTGAAGCTTACCAGCTAGTACAACTCGTGACTTCTTTAACGTCTCTCCTTTCACATATCAACAGATGCGAGAAGTGTAACAAAATGATCGAATAGTTCTTCCGTGCAAGCATCCGTAGTTTATAGTTTGTTCATTATTGATCAATATCAGTTGCAACCTATAGCCGTTGGAAATGATAGGCATTTCCCTCATTGCATCGCACTCATGAAGTTTTTCTCTGCAAAATGCATGGTCAACGTTCAAAGTGGTGTCAAGTAATGCAAAAAGCGATATGTTGTGCGGTTTATTGCTCAATCAAAAACAACAAATATTCAGCATAAATCTGATGACCATAACTGTTCGATAGTATAATCTGACAGTCTCTGTTCTTATTTCTACCCCGAGAAATACGCCCACCGCCTATCATTAGCGCGATCGTTTTGCCAGCATCTCTCGCAGTCGGGCAGTCGGTCCGGCGTGTAGCCCTTCTCAAAACAGTAGTCCAGGCTCATCCAGCAGCAGCCTGTCGCTAGCGGTCCCACGCAGGGGATCATACACGGCTCGCACTGGTTGGAGGCGATCACTGACTGAACGCCCCCGCTCGGATATGGGGCTGGGGAGGAGGGTTTAGGAGTCGGGGGCTGAGTGGGTTTTGGTGTAGGGGGAGGCGTGGTCTTTGGTACAGATGCCTGCGGAATCAACCATGTGTTGTCTAGAGACTGGTCCGAGGCTGGTTTGGTCGTTGTGACGGCCACAGGCTCGGGTCTCCGGGTAGGTGGTGTGGTTTTGGGTGGCGGTGGGGTGGTTACCACTTCTATGTCCTGGAAGCCCAGGGAGGGGGACGTCTCCTGGGAGGTCGCTCCCGTTGGAGGGGTGGGCGACGGTGGCAGTGGAGAGGGAGAGGGAGAGGGAGAGGGAGAGGGAGAGGGAGAGGGAGAGGGAGAGGGAGAGGGAGAGGGAGAGGGAGAGGGAGAGGGAGAGGGAGAGGGAGAGGGAGAGGGAGAGGGAGAGGGAGAGGGAGAGGGAGAAGGTGATGGCGAAGGCGAGGGAGAGGGAGAAGGCGTTATATTCGTGCGGATCTCCTGGTCCAGCGCAGAGCCGATGGTGTCCGTTCCCCGCACCGCCTGTCAAAACGTCAGAACGTTAGTGCACTGCCCACGTACAGACCTGTCGGTGAGTGGGGGGGGGGGGGGGATAGGGAAACATTGCTCGTATCGATCGCCGTTCCGATAGATAACTTGAAGGCTGATCTATAGTTGGCTTATCTATTTGGAAATAAAATGCGAAAAGCGAGACAATGATGAGATATGCATAATGTTGCTTTTTTCTGCATAATTGAATCATAAATCAATATGATACAGATATCTAGCATCATTTATCAACGTTTTCTTTTTTTTACTTTTAACTGAAACAGCCATTTGCACAACAATTATACCTTATACATACACAATGAAATAGTTAAATGATACAGATGAGCCGATGAAGTGTAGGAACGTAAAGGTAGAATTGTTTAATTGAATAAGAGAACTAAGAAAAGGAAACGGATGGTCGTTTAACTAAGAAAAGGAAAAGGATGGTCGTTTCTACCCTAGTTTACCGTCTTTCTATGTGTGGCATGCCAAGACCGCCACCATCCATCCCGCTCACCGTCGTGGTTCCGTTGGACCACGGCTCGGAGCCGTCGACGCTGCGAGACACGGCCTTGTTCTCCCTGCTGACGGTACCGCCATCCCCTGCCGTCACGGTAGCCGAGTTCACCGAGCTGCGCGTGCTCTCCGTGCCGGTCCGGTCGTCCGTGCCCGTGAGCGTCACATTCTCATCACGGTCCGTGCGCAGCTGGCGGACCTGGAGCGCGGTGCCGCCGTCCGGCTCGCTGACGCTCAGGCGGTTCTCGCGGGTGCGCTGCGCCGACTGTATCCGCGACGTGCCGCTGGGCCCGGTGCGGTTGTCGTCTTTGAGCTGGGTGTCGGTGCGGCCGAGGTAGGCGAACCCGCCGTCGGTGGTGGACGAGGCGGCGCGCTGCTGCTCCTGGCCATTGCTGACCGAGGCCGTCGACCGGCTGGTGTTGGTCGTGTTGTGGAACGCGCCCGAGGTGATCTGGCGGGTCTCCGAGCTCTGCGAGGTGCTGGTCTGGGAGCGCGTCACGTCCCGACTGGTGGTTCTGCTCACCACCTCACCCTGCAGCGGAGGAGGGAGCGGTGAGCGAGGTGAGAACATCGCAAAGTAGCGCACGTTTTCATCCTGGATACAAACATCAGCTTGTCTTCGAAACTTTAGCCACAGGTAACTGATCAAATCAGACACAGGTAGGTACGCAAATGAGACGTCGACCCCGGAAGTCAGAACCACGCAACAGCCGATACTCAAAAATCGCAGTAAACCCGCCCTTTGAATTACGATCAGAGCTTTTTACAGCTCTTAACCCTATTCCTGGCGGGCTCCGCCGGGACAAGAAACTGGCGGGGGGGGGGGCCGATTCGGCCCCCCCTGAGATCTCGAGAACGAAGCAAGATAGCGACAAGCGGTAAACGGCATCGGATACGCATGGACAAGGTCTACAATTTTTACCAAGGTCATTTTCAGGTCAGGTCAAAGATGACGTCACAGGGGTCGAAAAAGTCAAAATGGCGGCGCTAGATATGGAGAGAGTTTTTCTCGAATAACTTTCGAATTAGTCAAGATAGGAACAAACTAAGGGCATCATCGTGATCCTCTCGTCAATCCGCATCGAATGATATATATGTTGACCTCGAAAGGTCAAGGTCAAAGGTTGACCTCAGGTCACGTGACCTCGAGGTCATCATGTATATCATTCGATGCGTCTTGACGAGCTGAACACAATGAGACCATCCACGCGTCTGTATCTTGTTCCTGTACGGAGTTATTGGCCAAAAACCTTTGGTGACCTTTGATGACGTCACATGACCTCACAGCTGCCCAACAGCAAAACAGACCTCAAGGTAGTGAAGGTTGATCGTATATGAAGTCATGTATGGTATATGGGGCCATTCCGACCCGTTTTAGTGGTAAAAACAGGGAGTTGATTTTTCCCCCATTGACTTATAATGGGGAGGTCGCGAAACTGACCTGACCTTAGGTCACCGATATCAAAATTCCGAGATATACAAATTGCACATACTGGTACCCTAACTAAAGCCTGAAGAGAAGAAATTGATCGGTCAAAAACTCTAGCTCTGGCGTGATTGCAAACTTTTCTGAGGTAGGGTCACCAAACCGCCTCTGGTGACCTGACCTGAGGTCAGATCAACTCAAAATTTTCAGACATGTTGCGTAGAAGCCTTATAGGAAAAGTCAGAAAATTTGAGCTTCCTAGCTCAACGCGTTTGGGAGAAATAACCAAAAAACCTCAGGGGGGGGGCTCCTGAGGCCCCCCCCCCCGCCAGGAATAGGGTTAAACCACACCAGACCGCTAACCCTGAAGACCCAGAGCTCACCTGCCCGAGTGTGGCCGGCAGGCCGGTTGCTACGAGCACCACCAGGAGCGGCAGGAGGGGCGCCATCGGAGGGTGTCGCCGCGGCGCCGGCAGCCGGAGCGCACCGCTCACTGCGGCCCGTCGTGACGGAGCGCGGCGGACCTGTCAGCGACCTCCGGCTCAGGCCGTGACAGCAGCCCCCCGCCCTGCCCGCTGGCCACCCACGCCGTCCCTGCTGCTGACCGCGACCCCGCGCCTCTGACAGTCGCCCACCCCGCCGCCGCTCGGCCGACCGACCTCTGAGCTGCTGACCTTTACGGCAGAGCCCACGTGGGACGGAGCGCGGATCGTGCAGCGCGGCGCACACGGACGTCGGAAACGGCGATCCGGGTCGGCCGGTGGCAGGGTTCAGAGAAAGGAAGCGAACTGCGAACATCGCGGCTTGGTTTTGGTGTCGGGTACAAACTTGGGGCAAACAAGCCAGGGGTGAAGTTTATCAGTTGTCACTTTTCATGACGGGAAAATAAAGGGAGAATAACAGAAACGTAATATGCACTTAGGCTACATGCTATTAACTTTATCATAGCACTTTTTTTGCACGTTAAACCAGGAGTCGACAGCTTTGCCCGGAGTCGGAGTCGGAGTTGGAGTCACTGAAAGTTAACATTGCATAGCTCAAAATCATGCCCTACGCCTGTTTGCTTGACGATATTTCGTTCGTTCTGCGTTCACCTTTCAAAATCGGATTTTGTTGAAGCGGAAGACATACCCCTGTTTTGGACGAGCGTTTTCGTCGAAAAAAGCTGAAGAGGGCTGCTGCGTCCAAACCTGTTTTGCATGCTATTTAAAAAGTGTTTACTTGCAATGCAAGACCTTGGAACGTTCAAAGGATCGCTCCTGGCAAGATAAAAAGATCTCCGACATTTAGTTAGTTTCATTATATGAACTTCAGAGCTATGTCCAGAGTCTGGTCTCGAGTCGGCGTCGGAGTCTGAGTCGATTTTTGAAGTCAGAGTCGAAGTCGGAGTCGGAGTCACCTTAATTAATCCATTGACCTTGCAACCCCACGTTAAACCCATTTGGCCAGAGGAAGATTTAAGTACACGTTCTTTAAAAAGAAAATATTTTTTCTTCATTTGGAATGAACCATGATGACAGCCAAGGTGAAAATGAGCGCCGTTGACCTTTAACGATGTTCCCGCCCACATAGATATGCTCGTTCCTGACACGCAGCCACTGGCGCCGAACAGATTTGCCGTCGGCATTTTCAATCGACGGGTCTGGCCGGTCTGTCAAAGCAGTACTGCTTCTTACGTAAACGGCTTCATGTTGAGCGGGATCTAACGGAGACGCCGTTTTTCTGACTGTTCAATGTTCATAGCTAATTGCAATGCTAAGCTAATACGCTAATGTTTTAGTTTAAAAGACATAACTTGTTTGATTTTGATTTGCTCGTTTTTCTACGGTAGGTAAGTCGGTAACGAGGAGCATGTGAATAACACATTCATGTAGACACCATATAATGAACTTAAACCAACCATTTAGCTGTATACATACTTAACCCTATTCCTGGCGGGGGGGCCTCAGGAGCCCCCCCCCCCCTGAGGTTTTTTGGTTATTTCTCCCAAGCGCGTTGAGCTAGGAAGCTCAAATTTTCTGACTTTTCCTAAAAGGCTTCTACGCAACATGTCTGAAAATTTTGAGTTGATCTGACCTCAGGTCAGGTCACCAGAGGCGGTTTGGTGACCCTACCTCAGAAAAGTTTGCAATCACGCCAGAGCTAGAGTTTTTGACCGATCAATTTCTTCTCTTCAGGCTTTAGTTAGGGTACCAGTATGTGCAATTTGTATATCTCGGAATTTTGATATCGGTGACCTAAGGTCAGGTCAGTTTCGCGACCTCCCCATTATAAGTCAATGGGGGAAAAATCAACTCCCTGTTTTTACCACTAAAACGGGTCGGAATGGCCCCATATACCATACATGACTTCATATACGATCAACCTTCACTACCTTGAGGTCTGTTTTGCTGTTGGGCAGCTGTGAGGTCATGTGACGTCATCAAAGGTCACCAAAGCTTTTTGGCCAATAACTCCGTACAGGAAGAAGATACAGACGCGTGGATGGTCTCATTGTGTTCAGCTCGTCAAGACGCATCGAATGATATACATGATGACCTCGAGGTCACGTGACCTGAGGTCAACCTTTGACCTTGACCTTTCGAGGTCAACATATATATCATTCGATGCGGATTGACGAGAGGATCACGATGATGCCCTTAGTTTGTTCCTATCTTGACTAATTCGAAAGTTATACGAGAAAAACTCTCTCCATATCTAGCGCCGCCATTTTGACTTTTTCGACTCCTGTGACGTCATCTTTGACCTGACCTGAAAATGACCTTAGTAAAAATTGTAGATCTTGACCGTGCGTATCCGATGCCGTTTACTGTTTGTCGCTGCGATGTGTAGTTTTTGAGATCTGAAGGGGGGGCCGAATCGGCCCCCCCCCCCGCCAGTTTCTTGTCCCGGCGGAGCCCGCCAGGAATAGGGTTAAGCATATTGTTTGCATGTAGAATGTAGAGTTAGAAGTATGAAATAATGCTTAGTGTAAGCAGTTTCCGTTCAGGTTTCAACGATGACCTCAACACATCGCTTCAATTTGCTTTCGAGCTACAACAGGGAAAGCTCTGCGTGAGGGCCGCGACCGCATCATTTTCAACCTTTGACTTTCAACCTTCAACCTATAAGGTCTTATAAAGGCTTATAAGTCCCATTACTACATATTTCCCCAGTGTCATTCTTAGTGGCATTCATTGGAAAGAAATGGCTGCATATCACAAAATAATCACTTTCCTATAAGCATATGCTGCAAGTGCACAATGTACAGGCAGACATCTCAATACTGACCCTCGTGTGAAAATTCGCAGTGATGGGAAAACATGGTGAATGACGCTGATGCAGTTACCCGTCTACATAACGACCATGTGCGCACCACGCACCACCAGCTTCGGAAGCACGTGTTATAGACGTGCAATTATAGTCACATAAACTGGCGCGTGAGGGGATACAATACATTATACAAGTCATGTGGCTGACGAACTGTGTGCATTTTACTGATGCCGCGCCGTAACTCGTAAATTAAAGAGTTTACGTGTAAGCTGTTATGGTGGTTCCCAAACGTCAACTGACAGAGTGAGAAGAGCGTTCACGGCGACTGTTGTTTATTTGCTTTACATCCAGCCCCCATAATCCAAGATAGGTATATTCTCCTGAAACATAAATGCAGGCGTACATGTCGCATGTAATCTGAGGCTTTATCGGGGCGCCGTTTATTTTCTCTCCTACGTCAGGTCAGGTTGCTTGCCTTCCTGTTCAGTTTTTTTGTCCTCTTTGTGGCCGGAATGTCCAATTGTTTACAAGCCTCCGGATTGTAGAGAAACTGCGGACTTCTCCAAGGTAACCGCAATGTTGACAACGCATTTAATCCTCAGCAGACCTCCCAATCTAAAGGTTTTCTATGTTTGCTCGAACCGGGGTACTGATAAAGCTGCACCACCACAGTCTCCTCCCATAGAGCTAAAACGTAATGCGAGAGAAGAACTATGACGAGAAGCAGAAAGTTATGTCACGTTTTGAGATGTTATATGAGCCAATGAAGTGGAAGTCAGTGAGCATCTTTTTAATTCAACGCTAGGTCAATTCCAAGAAACAACATTTTAGCCTGCTTTGGAAAACGAGTCAAGACCTCAGTGGGGCTGTTCCTAACTGACATACCGGCACCAACGCTTTCTTTCTCATAGCGCCCTCCCGAAATAACCTCTTAAAACATTAATTCAAACAGGAAAAAACAGTCGGGTTGAAAAGGTCCTTTAACCTTGTAAAGCGGCTGCTCTCGGTTCGGACAGCACCATGAATGTCAGGAGGCCCTGCAGGGAAGGGACGGTCACTGACATTCATTGCGACACATCTCGCTGTCAATCCAGAGTTAGACACGCAGCCAAAAAGTCGAGTTCGGGTGACGGCCCGCGCCGTGGTACCACTCTGCTAGCCAGAGGCGCGGTCAGCGGACCGGCCGACCACCGCGGACCATCAGCGGACCATCAGTGGACCATTAGCGGACCATCAGCGGACTATCAGCGGACCATCAGCGGACCATCAGCGCGGACCATCAGCGGACCATCACAGGCCGTTCCTGGTGTGACCACTGCCGAGAGCGGTCTGACCGACTCCGCCGATCCCAACGATGGTGGGCAGGATGGCCTGCTGGGCTGTGCTGGTGACTCAGGCGCTGTTGCTGAGCCCGGTGGCGACCTTAGGGGACGTGACGTCACCCAAAGTAAGCGGGGGTGGTCGAGTTTGGCATCGATAAAAGGGAACAGGGTCAGGGTCGTGCGATTTTTAGGTACTTGGGCGTCGATGGTTTGATGCGGCACTACATGCTGGACCCTCTTCATTTGTGATATCGTAGGTATTCAGTAATCGTTATACAATTTGGAAAAATTAAAATCACATTAGAAGTCGATACCTAATTGCAAATATATTCAAGGTTCAGTAAGGGCTTTTTTTGCCGCATTTCTTCTTCAGGCATAACGTATTTTGTCTTTCTTCCAGGCTCCTAAGGTAACCGTGCCGGATCAGGAATCCGACAAGGCCATCGATGTGAACAAGACCAGTCCGACGTCTTCATTGGATGGAGGGACAATCATTATGACAATCCCAGGCGGCATTGTACACAAGCAAGGTCCGCCTCCCGCTCACCAGCCGGTCAAAAAGAAACGCTGCCAAAAACCATGCATCGGAAAATTATACCATGCGTATCAAACACACGCTGCTGCAGCTCCAATCGACTCTTCTGTATCTCAAAATAAAACTGCCGGTGTTTTTGCCAGGGCTGCCCCAGCTCCTAGCAAGCCCTCGGCAGCTCCAAGAAGGGGTGCCCTCTTCCTGCCGTCCCGAGCTCGTACCGCAGTGGCAGTGCGATTCGTTCGCACTCCCTGTAAACTCGTCAAGAAGCGCAACTGCTGCCTGATCGAAACCCTCGGCAGTTACTCGTGCTCTTGTCTCAAGGTGGATAAGAAGTGTTTCGAAATTAAGAGGGTGAGGGTGCTTGTGCCGTTCGAGACCATCTACCCACCGTGTCCGAAATGCTACGATCTGTGCGATCACAACCGACGAATATGCTGCCGACTGTGGCCCTGCAAATGACCGATCCAAACACCGACCTGTGTTATTATTGGAAATACAAAGTCCAGTTAAGTGCCTTATCTAAAGACTATGTGGAGCAATTAACCATTAATCACGATCTCAACCCTTCTACCTTGTCGATAAAAACAAGTTTCACGAGAAGCGCGCCGTTCGCTGTCATCCAAGCACAGACACTGGCCTCTAGAGAAGTGCACCTATTGGATGCCACTCCCGGTTGAACTTGTTCTTGTTCACGGACTTGGCATGCGGTAAATTCTAAGCCGACATGCCTCCTTCGACGAGGTTGCCTTTTTACGAAACATGAAAATTATCAGCAAACACAATCCCTTCAGAATATATTGGAAAAAGATATCTGAAAAGTATTTAAGAGTATGGACCCAGAGTCTGAAATAAAGCTTATCTATCTATCTATCTATCTATATCAAAACGATATTCAATTTTCGTAAGCTCTCCAAGGTATAATTTCAATCATGTATAAACTAGTCTTTAGAAATGAAGCCGAAGCAGAGGCTCACACTCATCCAATGCACAGATAATGAAGAAGGCAAATGAGAGGCCATCGAATCTGAATGCTCCATTTCAAGTCGAGCCAGATTGTCAATCTCGAACCACAAGCGTTTGCTGGCTTAGGACAGGGAACGCGGGGGCTTATGGCTGTCCGCCCACTGCCATAGAATGCCACCATGTCACTGAAAGCGCGGCTATGAACCGGTGATAGCGGCGGCCAGGACTATCGAAACCAGATCGGGGAAGCAAGTGAAGCATTCGAATATCATGCATTTAGGGTTTAAATGGTCCTAGGTTGTGAAAATCATTAACTCCCACGTAAGACTTCTCATAGTTACTTTTTGCACTAGACGTCGTTTTAAACGCAACATAACTTTAATTCACTCGCAAATAACTAGCATACATTCACGCTTCACCAGGCAACATAGGCGTCGCCAGACATTTTCGGTTGGGGGGGGGGGGCAAAATCAAGTTTTGTGTTAAATCTTGCCTTTCCCCAGCCGTTACTCACTCGTTTTACATATCATTCGACGCGCAATGGTGCGAAAAATCCGAGGTGACAAAGTTTTCCTTCTAGCTATAGCATGCATTTAAAAAAACAACAATATTTTGACATTTCTGGACAAAAACGACCGTTAGAATCACAGTGGCTGCGAGTGCCGACGCACTGCAGAGGGCCCCTGTGCAGACTCTCGTCGCTCATGATCATTACCCAGAAGGTGAAAAACGCTCCATTTGAATCGGATCACCTCGCTAAAACCTCCATTCACGCATGCATGCCGAGGTTTTACGTGAAATGCATAGGGCTTATCCCAGCCGCCGATTGTAGCTAAGAATTGGGCATTCGGCGGAGACTGAGAGAGAATGTCGGAAGTGTGAATCGGAAGTACATCATTCATCCTTGCTGCAGTGAGAAGAAATGTTTTGTTCACTCGAGTGTGAACAAAAATTTTCTGGTTTTTCGAGTGAAGGGAAGCGCTGCAAACGCGACCAAAAATATTTAACGGAACCAAAAGTTACGCACGGCATAGCGGCAAGGGATCCCTTAGAGATAGGATTGCGACTTCCAAGCCATTTCAGGCCACTCAGGGTCAGTGTGGAGTCTCAGAAGCCTGCTTAGGATCCCGGAGATCGGCGTGGGTCACCCCAAATATTTACGTGTATGTGGTGCTTTAGGGCTTTCCGAGCCTAAGGTGGGCCCGGAAAGCCCCGCTTTAGGGCACACGAGCTTTCAGAAGCCAGTGTGGGTGGCGGGCGCTAAGAGACTAGGCCCAGGGTGAGCCTGGAGCCCTCGAATAAGAGTGTGAACCGTCGGGGTCTGTGTCGAATCCTTAAGGACCCTACGTTGGTAGGGACATAAGAAACATGTGTTGCGGCCCTCAGAGGGACACGTGAGTTGTGACCCCTCAGATGCCGGGTTGGGGTTAGTAAAGTCTGTCGCCTCAAAAGTTCGGCTGAACTATCATAGGCCAGTTGAGGTGTTCAGAAATTTTCGAAGGCATCCTCAAAGAATCGTGTGGCCCTTCAGAGGTCTACGTATGTATAATGTCCTCAAAGATCCCTGTATCAGTATGGGCCCTCTAGAGAACATGGACACCAGTGGGACTCTCAGAGGCCGGTTTGGGCCCTCCGAAAGCTTCTTAGAGCTCAGTGGAGCTCCTTAGGAGCCTGTGTGAAAAGCAGGCTCATAGCCCTGCGGCACTTGAACGGTACTTGTGCCTGTCGCAGACATTTGACGAGAGTTGAGAAAGGCCCCGAAGATTTCGTGTCACGCTTTGAACGAAAATTATGTGTCAGCACTCCAAAATTTATGAAAATCAGCTACAAAATGTAATAAAGAACCAACTAGGAACATGGCATGAATCATGGCATTGACATTCCGAGTCTGGAGTCGGAGTCTTGAAGATTTTGGCGACTGCGACTCTGACTTTGGTTTGAACTGCACGCTCCAACAGTCTGACCTCACAGGCATTCTCAGAAAGGTACCCCCATTTTTTTCCCCGACTCCAAAATCTTATCGGATCTGTATCGATCTCAGGGGGTGCCCGGTCCGAGGTTGGGGGGGGGGGGGCAAGCCGCCCCGCTTGCCCCCCCCCCCCGTGGCGACGCTACTGCCAGGCAAACACATATTATTAGCGTAAGCCTTTATTACAAAATAAACTCCGAGCAAGACATGCGGCTGACAAACATGAAAAGACATCACAAGGTATCGTTCGTGGCATAGCTCATCTACAGGAGTTACTGCCTCTTTTCTACGCGTCATTAAACGTCACGGAAATGTGCGCGTGACATTTACTCTCAGATATCATAACATCGCTCTCCTCTTCGACTTCTGTGTATAATCCGCGCCTCGTATTATTGTTGAACATGCTCGTATACTAGTAAGTAAGGTCGTAAGCACTTAGCTAGTGATAGCCACGAACAATAAATACAAGAAAATATTAAAGTGCGGCATCAATAATTGACCGCCTCTACGTGATGCACAGATTGATTAGGTTTAAAACACCGCAGTAAGATTGACATGCCAGAAATAATTTCGTTAAGACGATACAGAGTTACAGGCAGAGCAACATTGATGTGCTGTTGTTACTAGCATTGGGCGACACCAACGGCCTGAAACCTGAAATAATAAGTGTTTGTGACAGCGTGCATTACCTAACAGGAAACATTTGATGTCACATTGCTCTCTAAGCTGATTGACAATAGCGAGGACAAAAATCTGTATAGCGTTTCAGAAGAGACTCGCATAGGCTGTATAACCTGTACCATTTCTGCCACATCAAAAACACATATCGCAAAGGAATGACCGGTACAGCGAGTGACGCGCCGTCAGCGCTGCGGCGGCGGATGGGCGAACTAGCGTTTACTCGACGGCCCACTGGAGGACAGCCATGTCGCGGCCGCCCGTGGACAGCAGCCGATCGTCCTCGGCGAAAAACTCCACATGGGTCACGTGACTGCTGTGACCCTGGTACGAGTGGTTCGTGGTCTGAAAAAGGACGAAGAGTTATGAGTATGACATCAACTTCCTAAATTAGTACGTGGCGCATTATACGATTACAGACATAAACATACACCTTTTTACAAAAATCACGAGGCACTAGAGTCAGAACGGCGAAGGAAGAAACTGATGACCTACCGTATTCTGACCAACTGGAAGAGCGGAGGACACCCCTTCCACCAGACACCTTACCTTGGCCTGGTTGGCGGGGTAGGGGAACAGTTTGACGCGTCCCCAGTCGTCTCCCGCTGCCATCAGGGAGCCGTCGTTGGAGCGGCAGCACGTGTTGACGTCTGTGCCGTCCGCGTCCTCCGGGTAAATACCTGAGAGGTGAGACACGAGACCTCAGACAGTGCTAATATAATTCAGTGCCAGCGCTCGACCTGTAAAAGTGCTTGCAATGCCCGCCACACTTTCAGACAGGATTCATGGTGCGGTAAAATATACACGTAGGACGTAGGTCTCGCAAGCCACAACCTTCGTCTCTGCTGAACGACTTTCCAGCACTCTCTTTCCATCAAGCAGATCTCTCTCCGTAGTTATAAGATCTCCAATAGTGTGTGCTAGGAGTATGAGTATCGACATCGCCTTCACCGGGGTCAGCTGACGGTGCTGCCACCTACCGACAGAGTTGAAGGCCAGCGTGCAGGTGTGGCTGGCCCACTCGGTGTCGCGTAGCTCGGAGGCCTGGGTGACCTGCCGGCCGGTGGCGGCCGTCCAGTACAGCAGCTCGTAGTCGCCAGAGTTGGTGCGCAGCAGGGTCGAGTCAGCCGACCAGTCCAGGTGCGTGATGAAGCTCGAGTGGCCCTGGGGCGAGAGGAGTCGGGTGGACGGTGACTTCGGGCAAAAAAGGTCCGAAAACTGAGAGTGGAATACGGTTGAAAGTAGTGACATAGGCTAAATGCCGTTAAAGGTTAAAAGAAGCTAGGTGGGTAAAACAGCCCATAGCAGCAAATTAAGTAAGAAAAGTTTTGTATTGAAAATGAAACGACTAAAATCGCAAATTTGCGCTACAATCGCTCCAATATTCCACTCTGACCTACACAAATCTGGATGACCAAAAGACCCACCCAAACTCTTATCCCTGAGATTTACCTCTCCATCCCTCCGCTCCCACCTACCGTGCACTTGGCGACGCGGTTGAATCCTCCGTCCCCAGCCTCGTAGATGTAGACCGTGTTGTTCCTCGAGCCCAGTGCCAGCATGTTTCCGTCCGGTGAGAAGCGCAGCGTCTGGATGGGCTCATCGCCGTCCGTCCGCGAGAACACCGTCTCGTGAGAGTCCGCGTCCAGCACGTCCCAGCGTCCGGAGACGAGGCCGACGGCGAGCTGGGAGCCGTCCGGGGAGAACGAGGCGCTCTGCACGCCCTCCTGAGGACACAGAACGGAGGGCGGGGCAGGGGAGGTTAGCTGGGAGCCGTCCGGGGAGAAGGAGGCGCTCTGCACGCCCTCCTGAGGACACAGAACGGAGGGCGGGGCAGGGGAGGTTATCTGGGAGCCGTCCGGGGAGAAGGAGGCGCTCTGCACGCCCTCCTGAGGACACAGAACGGGACACAGGGCAGGGGAGGTTAGCTGGGAGCCGTCCGGGGAGAAGGAGGCGCTCTGCACGCCCTCCTGGGGACACAGAACGGGACACAGGGCAGGGGAGGTTAGCTGGAGCCGTCCGGGGAGAAGGAGGCGCTCTGCACGCCCTCCTGGAGACACATAACGGGACACGGGGCAGGGCGGGTTAGCTGGGAGCCGTCCGGGGAGAAGGAGGCGCTCTGCACGCCCTCCTGAGGACACAGAACGGAGGGCGGGGCAGGGGAGGTTAGCTGGGAGCCGTCCGGGGAGAAGGAGGCGCTCTGCACGCCCTCCTGAGGACACAGAACGGAGGGCGGGGCAGGGGAGGTTATCTGGGAGCCGTCCGGGGAGAAGGAGGCGCTCTGCACGCCCTCCTGAGGACACAGAACGGGACACAGGGCAGGGGAGGTTAGCTGGGAGCCGTCCGGGGAGAAGGAGGCGCTCTGCACGCCCTCCTGAGGACACAGAACGGAGGGCGGGGCAGGGGAGGTTAGCTGGGAGCCGTCCGGGGAGAAGGAGGCGCTCTGCACGCCCTCCTGAGGACACAGAACGGAGGGCGGGGCAGGGGAGGTTATCTGGGAGCCGTCCGGGGAGAAGGAGGCGCTCTGCACGCCCTCCTGAGGACACAGAACGGGACACAGGGCAGGGGAGGTTAGCTGGAGCCGTCCGGGGAGAAGGAGGCGCTCTGCACGCCCTCCTGAGGACACAGAACGGGACACAGGGCAGGGGAGGTTATCTGGAGGGGTCCCGGGAGAAGGAGGCGCTCTGCACGCCCTCCTGAGGACACAGAATGGAGCGGAAGACAGGGGTTAGAACAGGCAGTTACAGACAGAACAGAAAGTTAGATGGAAGGGTTTGGGTGGGAGGGAGGTCAGGGGCCAGAAGAGGCGATATATACTGGCCCTGCAAAAAAAATGTTTTCCGGCTAATCTTAGCACTTTTGACAGCAGCGTCTAAGCCCGTGCCCAAGATTACGCCCACCAACCACCACATCAACTATCACCGACCGTTGCCACCATCACCAACTTCTCTCTCCCTCACCTCAAAGTCCATGGTCCAGACGGGTGCGTGAGTGACCAGGTCCCACATGAACAGTCTGCCGTCCCAGCCGCCGGTGGCGAACTGGGGGCGTCCCGGGTGGGCGGCCGCCGCCCACACCTCATCTGTGTGACCGCGGACGATGGGCTCCGGGTCGGCTCCCCACTCGGCCGTCAGCACGCAGTTACCAGTGGTACCGACCAGCAGCTGGCCGCCGCGGCCCGGAGACACCATACGGGGAGCGCCGTACTCGGCAGGTAGCTGCGGGATGGGGTCAGAGGTTAGCGTCAGAGCGTTAGGGGACCAGGCACCAATTGACATTAAAACGGGCACTGAATGGAGCGAAATGAATGAAATGTGATTCATCGTAGCAGAGGGGAACTTAAAAGGTACAAGGGACGATACAATCAATTGCAAGCAGCATGAACTCCATGAAGCAGCACGATTATCTTGAGCATGATATCTAAATGGTATACACAAGTGGAAAATGACAATAAGACTCCATCCTGCCAACGACCCTCACCTCGACCACGTTCCCGGTCTGGGTCATCTCGCGGTCCCACTCGATGATCTTGCCGTCCTTGCCGCCGGAGACGACGTTGCCCGTCTTGTCGACGAACAGAGTGAACACGGTGCCCTCGTGGGCGTCGGCCACCGTGTTTGTCACCGTGGTGCCCCCTGGCCGGGGCAGGGCACACAGGTCAGATATGGAATTCAATTCAATTCAATGTGTATTCACGATAGATCCACGCAAACTGGTGGCTTTTCGCCATCGTACGTAGTAAAAAAAGAGGGGGCAGTTGGGAGGTCTGGGAAGCTGAGGCAGAGGTGGAGAGAGTAGAGATCAGTTGGATGGCAGGGTGCTCCGGCTCTCGTTTTGCGTTTCCGTACCTTCCTCCCTCGTTCCCTTCCTCTTATTATCTACCCCTCTTTAGCTCTAGCTTCTCTCCCCTATACTCTCGCTTCTTTTCCCTACCACCCTCTCTTTTCCTTTCTTCATATCCCTCCCTCCCTCCCTCTCTCTCTCTCTCTCTCTCTCTCTCTCTCTCTCTCTCTCTCTCTCTCTCTCTCTCTCTCTCTCTCTCTATCTCATCCTCCCGTCGCCCTTCTCCCTTCCTCTCACCTCGCTCCCAGAACAGAATCCGTCCATCCGAGTCGCCCGTGATGAGGTCCCCGGAGTCGGTAAAGTCCATGCAGGTGACGTATTTGGGCCGGTCGCGGCCTCCGAACACGCCCTGCCGGCGCTGCAGGGAGCCGGCCTCCAGCAGCCAGAAGTTGACGTGCTGCCGTCCGCAGGTCATCAGCACGCCCTTGTCCAGCGGGTGCCACTGAACGTCCACCACCGTCTCATTGGCCGCCTGAGCAAGGGAGGGGGGATGTTACGGCAGGTCCAGCAAGGTCAGGCTAGAGTGTGTCATATCAGGTCAGACAAGGGCACTGGGCAAGTCGGATGTTTTTACCAGGCGAATACATGGGAACAGCTGCAATTATGCATAATGTGATGTTGCGATTGTTTTCCTTCTCGTCCTTCGCTTTCATGTCCCGCTTTGTTAGTTTACCAGCTCGTAATTTACCTTCCCTTTCATTTTCCTTTCGTGCCTTGTATTCTTGAGTTAATCACCGTACCGTACCTTGTTCTCTGTGACTTTGCTCTCCTCCTGCCAGTCCCAGACGGAGAGAGTGCGGTCCTGTCCCTCGTCCACAATGGCCAGCTGAGCGCCGCCGTCCGTCAGACTGAAGGCCAGGCACGAGACGCCGCGGTCCAGCTCCCCCTCGCCCAGCACGTGCAGCGTGTTCAGACTGGCCGAGTCCCACACGTGCACCTGAGGCTGTGGAGACAGACAGGCAGGGAAGGGAGCCGTGAGAAATTGATGGGTTTTATTGCACACTTGCGGCTGTGAATAGACAAAGCACAAGCGAGTGATACTTTCCTGTCATTCTTAACGTCAGCACTTCCCTTTTCACAGACGTCGCATGCGCTTCAAATGACCAGTTCCCGGTAACATCGATAAGCTCGCGGAAAGTGATAAACACTACCGACTACCGACTACCGAGTCACAATGGATAAGTTATTGATCAAACACTGCCTACGCAGTTCAGGCGTGAAAACCGCGCAATATTCTAAGAACGGCCCAACAAGTCCATGGAAGTTACGATTACCCACATGCAAATAGCCCCTGGGTGCTGGAAATGCAACCGACAACGACAGGGAGTGTTACAAATGAAAAAAAAACATGTCTATTTTGGGTCAGAGCTCAGAAGTAATTTAATGTCAACGATACTGTTTGAAAGTAACAAGGCTCTTTTATTTGAGGAAAATAAGGCGATTCCTCACCAAATTATTCTCCGCACCAGAAACTAAATACACGCTGTGTCAATTCGTCCGTTAGGAATTCAGTCCGGTGGAGAACCGCATTTTCTATCGATCTCATGTCCAGCAGGCGTGTAACAGACCAATCGTTCACTGAACCGTATAACCTTCTTTTCCATCTCATCCCCGCTCTCCATCCCGTACCGGTGAGCCTTCAGTGTGCCCTAATGTAATATCTATGCTCATTGCTCGGCCGTCCGGCTTCTCCACGCGTCCACCCCATCTCTTCCCTCTGCCCTATCCGTCCGCTTCATCTCTCCTGTGTTCTCTGTCCTGTGTCCACCCCATCTCTTCCCTCTGCCCTATCCGTCCGTTCCATCTCTCCTGTGTTCTCTGTCCTGTGTCCACCCCGTCTCTTCCCTCTGCCCTATCCGTCCGTTCCATCTCTCCTGTGTTCTCTGTCCTGTGTCCACCCCGTATCTTCCCTCTGCCCTATCCGTCCGTTCCATCTCCTGTGTCCTCTGTCCCGTGTCCGTTCCGTTTGCCGGTGCCCGTCACTGACCTGAGCGTTGGACTTGGTCCCGGCACACTGGCCCGTGGCGATGGTCGTCCGGTTGGGGTGGATCGCCAGGCTGGAACGGTCACAGACAGAGACAGACAACACAGTTCAGACACTTCAGACAGAGCCAGACAGGATGACAGGGGGTGGCCAGACAACCTTTCCCAGAAAACCTGACACAGGACGGCCAGGAAGGACATGGCATAGACACGGGCAAGCACAATAAACAAAGAAACAGAGTGAAAGCTGCACAACGTCGGGCAACAACAATTGCAAACACAGTCCGTCACGCTTCTTGGTAAACACAAACGTGACCAATGACAGCGCAACAGTCACACAATGACATGACATGACGGGTTAGCAGTCAGGTGCAGTGACAAAAGACCGAAAATACCCAGAGGAGACCATTGCGTGACTGCCCTAATCACGCTAATGACAAACCAATCAATATCCCGAGCACGCACGGAAGTTCGGTAACACCTTCGATCCGTGTTCGTCGAGCTTTCGAAGGTCAGTATGTCCTTTTGGTTAGACGGTTGGGACTGGCAGTGATAAAAACATGCCATTACCGAGCCATCGATCAAAATCATCGATGCATCGATTGTAGCTTAAACTTTAACTTTTAATCTAATCACGGGTGTGTTATCACTGAATTCAAACGAATTCGGTCGACAGTTTTTTCACTTTTTTAACCCGAACAATGATCATCGATCGTCAGCGAAGCGGGAATCAATAGAATAACACACCAGCACACGTTATCAATGCATGTGATACCACAAATCGACACCTTTTTTTAAACCCCACATCTGCTCTCCCGTGAATTTCCGGGAGGCACGAAAGATCTCCTTTTAAAAGTGTCCAATCGTCCGATCCTGATCAAATATGTGTGTTCGTAGGCCTGTTCTGGTATTGCTTTATCTGCCAAGACAGACAAACTTGAGAAAAATCGAGTGATTGTACCTTTTTTGAAGGTCTCTAACCAACTTGTCTGAAATTCACCGGAGAACAAATGTGGGGTTTAAAAAAGGTGTCGAAATAACACGTATGTCCATCGACTCACCACTTGACGTCATCTGTGTGCCCGGTGTAGTGGCGCTGCATCTGGTCGTCCACGTTATGAAGCACCACCACTCCGGCCACGAAGTATATCATCTCACCGGTGGGCAGCAGGTACAGGTTATTGCGGCAGTCCTTACCGCGGTAACCGTAACTGAGAGACCGACAGTCAAGGGCAATATCGCAAGGTGGCGTGTGGAGGCGCCGAATTTTCCCGATTTAATGGGGCATAAATAAATGTAGCTCGCAGTGCAACTGACAATTATGAAAACGTCGTAACCATTCGAATAAGAACACTCATTAATTCCAAAGCCAGCAGAGCTTTGAAGACCATCCAAGGCCCGAAACTATTCGCTCCACAACACGGCAAACGTTTCTTTTTCTCTACACAACAGTCCACCGCTGGCCGTTAGCATTCGATTCCACTTCCCCGTCCACAGGGGCGAGTCTCGCTCCACCGCGCCGTCCACCGCCAGCGGCCATCACTGCCCTGGGAACCGGCCGACCGCGACCGGAAGCGGACACTTCCGGTGGTGCGCGGGCTCGCGCCGGGACGCCGTGGCGCGTGCAGAGACGCCTCACGGACGCCGTGAAGCGGCCCACCTCTGAAGCGTGTCAGTACGAAGCTTGTCCAAGGTTCGGCTCGAGGTTATAACGAATCCTGGTCGGTGATGAGAAGGTAGTATCCGTTCGGCTTACCAAGACACGCCACTAGCGTTATTTTGAGGTTATAAACGATGTATCATGCATTATCGTTACATCAGGTGATGTCATGCCCGATGTGACATTACGCACAGCTATGTAGGTGAGCTAGTCCGTCGAGCCTTTAGTCGCTGAAACGATTATGATCGGAATCATTCCATGACGCACCATTTGAAACGAACAGAGGGGAACAAAACGTTGTCACCTTGGTTATGACAACGCCATTCGGGAAAACTCACGTCTATTGTTGAGCTCCTTTTGACGCCCGCTTACTAATGCTCCAATGCGTCTGGCATTTCTTTGTTTGTCGCACCAAGCGAGCATAAATAAAATGTCACTAATCTGCTGTTCAATCGTTACTTATCAGGTGCCCTTAACCCGCGCCCTGGTGGGGTCTGTTTATAACGCGACCTGGTGGGGGGGGGGGGGGCTATTTTTTGCCCCCCCCCCTCGTATCTCCGAAACTACTGGACGGATCCGCAAAATTCAAACGGCGTTCGAAAGGCCTGTTAAATTTGTCGAAGGAAACCAAATTTTATTGACCTCGGGGTCACCGATGACGTCACAGGTCAGGTCAAAGATGAAATGTTTCACCGTTCACGGGTCTTCTAGGGAATGCGCTATATAACACCGAGGAAAACGCATTTTGTCGGGAATCAGCGATAGGGCGTCAGTTGCCTAGTAGATATGTTGCTGTTAGAGGTCACTGGTCATACCAGGTCAGGTCACAGGTCAGGTCACCAAAGGTCACCGAGGGTCACCACATGAACCCAACTTTACTAAGGTTGTGCGATGCATGTTTTATGGCCAGTTTTTCATTTCCAACTCAATGGTGTTGGTTATAAGACCATCAGGTACGGTTTAGGTCACTTTCTGGTGGAGGTCAGGTCAAGGTCAGGTCAAAAAAGGTCAAATTTCAAAGTTGATAATTTTGCATAAAATGGGTATTGATTCGATGCAGCTCGTCACGGGGAGTCTAATGGTGGTCTTTGTTTTGCGCTACGAGGTCTAGAACTGCTGAAAATTGAGTTTGAAAATTTGACGTCATCAATGTTGAACAGTTTTTTCGCTATAACTTGGCCAAAAAAAGAGGTATCGATCTCAAATTTGGTATGTAGATGGAAGACGGTAGGGACTATCACATATATTCCGGTTTTTTCGAAATCCAAAGAACTTTTTGGATTTTTTGGTTATTATATTCAAAAAATCTATTTTTTTATTTTTGGGGGTCAAAATCCAAAAATTTCAAAAATCCGAGATAGCAGTTTTGTAGCCCTGTCCATTCTACAGCTTTTATGTCAGTATCATTTTCCTGTATTTGCAAAGCTATAGGCCTGACAGCTCTTCCCGCGAAACCCTTTTTTGGGTCGAAAACGGCAGAACATGACGTCACTCTGACGTCATTTCCGGCCAACCTATCATAGCCTTTGGAAAAATTTTTGGTCACAATGTGTAAAATTGATGTCCGGGAGGGTACTGAAAGTTTAGTGACGATCGGCGCAGTGGTTCTGGAGATATATCGAAAAGTCTGGAGGGGGGGGGGGGCAAAAAATAGCCCCCCCCCACCAGGGCGCGGGTTAATTACTCGCTGACATGTCAATGGAACATTGGGATAAGATTTAGATTGCATCGATCTTTAATTATAAAAGAAAATTAACTTTTTCAGCGCGCTGCTCACGTCCCGGTTTTCGGCACCAAAGGATACGCCCACTGGAGAGCCAGCTGTCTCTCCGGCGCCGGCAGCACCGCGTTGAGATCGTACTCCTCCATGACGTCGGAGGGCGCGTACAGGTTCACCGGGCGACCCTTCAGGAAGATCTTCAGCACGCCGTCCTCGGCGTTGTACGACATATCCCTCGTGCTGGCGACAGAACGGTAACGGCTCATGAGTAACAACTCAGTAGAAATACAAGGTAAATGTGAATGTCGTTACTGCATTTGGAAGTGATTACGATCATAACGGGAAAATGGAGAATAACGGTAAACGGTAAACGGAGTGAGACGTGAAGGTAAAAATCCTATTTGAGTGTAAAGCGAAGATTTGAATTAAGATAATACAAGTGATAAAACTGTGAATAACGGTATCAATAACCACTCATTCGACCAATTTCAACCCAACATAATACATATAGCATGACTTCAAGTGTTATTTGTATCATCTGCAGAAGTGTGATCACTTTGACCTTCCTCACTGCTGACGCATGTTTTCGAGGAGCGTCACGCTTTCGAGACCATCACGCCTCGGCTCAGACAATGGGGGAATGGGCCCGGCCAGCGGACGGTGTCGAGACAATGAGGGCAGCGGCGTGGCGGCGGGACTGCATGGGTCGATAGATGGTGGACCATTTCAGGGGAAGCCCGTGACAGTGAGAGAGCCAGCCGCCGGTTACGAGTGATCGCTGAAAGGGCTCGACCTGTGTGGGCTCGATTGTGTGAACGTGGTGGTGTCCGCCCCGGCAGTCACGCTGTTGTGGCAGCTTGCAATGAAATATTTCAGGGGTCGATTTTGTATGGAGCGGGCCCTCCTGTAACTGGTCGGAGCCGGCTAAAACTGGATGTGGCTAGCCGAAGTCGGTTACCACCAGCCTCAAAGGGCCCGGCTGCCACGAGGAAACTGCAGGGCGGTGTCAACGCGGCATTCACTCGATGGCCGATCTGCATAAAGGCTGATGATCTCAGTGCAGGGAATAAATAACTAAGAATTGGGGAGGAAAGGATTGTGAACAAGGGAGATTTAACTTTTCGTTACCAAAATCGTTCGAAAAAGAAGGAAATCAAACCAAAGCAGGAACATTAACCCAAGCTCTATTGCGGGGAAAGGAGAGCAGAATCCGCTCCTCCCGAATTTATGCATTATCTTATTATCTTATCTTAGAAATCTTAGAAAGTGGAAACGTTTTTTGCTAATCAACTGAAACTTGTAATTCCTTATTCCCGATCAAGCATACGCATTACGCAATCTATTCGAGGGTGGTGGAGGTGGAGGGAAGGGTCAAGGGGAAGGGGTGAAGTAGGTCTTTAAAAGCTACGCTACTTTGCTTTATGCCGCAGGCAAACTGATAAAATAAACGGGCCACTCTGGGTGCGATATTAGTTCTCTCGTCGATACCAAACCAGAACTAATAACGCCGACAGACAAACACAGACCGAGCCTGATAAGCCTGAGGGCCCATGGTCCAATGTCCTCGATAACCAGCGCCAAGTTCAAATATCGGCATGACGGTAGGCCGGGAGGTTGAACCTCCCGGGTGACAAATTGCTATTGGCACCGGTAGCGGGAGTCTGAACCCGTCTTTTGAGGATTTAAATAGTTCGGTTCAGAATCCGGATAGCTTTATGTTATTTTCATAAGCAGGAAAAGGCGTACTATCAAGCATCAGTCGTGTAGTGGAAGGGTCGCAGCAGTCAGTGAAACAAATATAAGTGCAAACCCTTATTCGGCAGTCGGCACCACTAACCAAGGCGCCAACAGCAGTCGTACTGAGCGATGACGTTGCAAAATAGAAACATTCAACTAGGGGTAGCATTGTAAAGGTGGACCCCATATCTTCTCATCTACGTCGCAGTCAGACTACATAATACAGAAAATGCCGATCTAAGAATGTATCGTTCTAAATACATCAGGAATACGACCGACACAACCCATCCCACGTCTTCTACTTACTCCTTGAACTCGTCGTCAGCCATTTTATCCGCTCTGACTCTCCTCCGGTACCAGATAACACAACCACACGCCTCACGAAACACTGCCGGCCGGCCGACTGCGCCACAGCTGTGAGGTGATGCCGCCGCCCCGCCCCGACCCCAGCGCCGCCCCTATTCAGCGGCAGACGGCGGAACTAAAATGCCGCGTTGTCCAGCCGCCTATCTCTCCGGTGAGTCACCGTCGTGCTGTTACCGGCTCTCACGGACCAAGGTCAGCCAGCGATACGGACTGGGGACCGGACACCCGTTCTCGCTCCCGACAGGCGAATAGAGACGGCGATTTAAATCGGCGACATCGGGGAAGGGGCCTCGGCCCGCCATCTGCAGAGTGCAGACCATGTGCTGAATTAATTTGCTTCATCTGTTTACCCGGGAAAAATAGATAACTTTTAAACTCAACTGAGCAAACGAACCACAAGTGGACTGAACTAGCAAACATGATACTACTAAAATAAACGATCACGGGCGATATCATATCATTGCAAACACCGACGAGATCGTTGGCGAGCACTTACAAACATACCTTAGTCACATGACAGATCCTGAACATTGGCTTCCGACTACCGGCATATGATCAGTCTGACTCCAAAGATCGGAACAAATTTACTACAAAGTACAACAAAAGAATCACAGCAACACTGAACAGAACGTATGACTTATGATGGGGCTCCCTAAAAGAAAACAAATCACCTGGCATATAGACTGTACCGCAACACATGGTAGTATTGCGGCACAGTATCATTCCACCGCAGTCGGTAGCAAGATGAATAAAAACGCTCCCTTCCACGGCTCGGAAGTAAAACGAATATAATTAATCAATTAAGTAAAGATTAGTGTCGCCATTCATCAGACTACAGGTAAAATATGACAACACGAATAACGATTCTCGCTTGCGGCGCCCAAGTAACCCCATCCACGCTGCCATGAGCGCGGCCGGCGCGGGGATGGCTCATGGCTGGCTGTTCGCCGCCATCTCCCGGCCGACAGCCGGCAAAAAGGCCAGCAGATCGATCCGCGGCCACGACCTTCACCTCAGCAGCCAGCCCAGATTACTGCAGGCGTCTCTTCTCCGTAAAGGCACTCACGATCGGAAGTTAAGGGCTGGTTCAGTGTGAGGATGGAGAAGTTGGAATTCAGCCAACCACCTGGGCTGTCTCGACAGTTCTAAGCCCAATCCAACTGCAAAAACATATCACCTGTATGCGAGATCTGGATTCGACTCAGTTGAAGTTCTCATTTGTAAAACCTCGAGTCAAGAAGAGAAGGGGTCTGGATTGAAAGGCCCTCCGCTCCATGGCCATGGCCGCGGGGCCATAACAGCGATATAAATCATCGCTGCACCAGAACAGATCATCTGCATTCTACACCGTGCTGTTGACTTTGCATGCAGGAAGCGTTCACGTTCAGCGGGCGACCGTACTAAAATGGACCGTTGTTGCTCTGCTGTGTGCTAAATATGCTTACACCAAGACGGTCATCTCATCCGTAATGTTAACCCGCGCCCCGCTGGGCTATTCAGCCATACGCGCCCCGTGCTGGGGGGGGGGGGGGGCAGATTCTGCCCCCCCCCTGTCTAACTTCCGAACCGATGGTCGTAGAAAGACGGGGAAAACGGCAATCGAAAGCTCTCAACAAGGCGGATCTTAAGAGCCCAAAATTTTTTGCTTAAGTAGGTCAGAGGTCAGGTCAAGGTCAGGTCAAGGGTACAAAATGCAAGTTTCTACAGTATCGGCCTTGCACCGTAGTTGCCGAAGAATAGACTGAGACTGATTGCCCAAAACGTGTTCTTAGACTACCAAGACAATATTCGTTGCACACAATGTCATTCAAAGGTCAAGGTCAAGGTCAGGTCAGGTCAGGTCAGGTCACCAAAAACAAAATACTCGTATAGAAAAGGGCATGTGCGACACATGTTTTATGGGTCATTTTACTCATGAAATTCAATAGGCACACTCAATAAGTGATATGGACCACCTCTGGATGAATTTCAGGTCGAGGTCAGGTCAAGGTCAGGTCAAGTGAGGTCAAATTTTGAAGTTGGTTGTTAAGGCCTAAAAAGGTGTCTATCCGATGCAGTTTTTCACGGCGAATCGAATGGTGCTATTTTTGTTTCCGTACGAGGTCTAGAACTTCCAAAAAAAAATCATTTTTCAAAAATTTTGTGTGTCGTGACGTCATAAAATTTTGAATAACTCCCACATTTTTGAACCGATTCTTCTAAAAATTGGTATGTAGGTGCACATAGACCACTTCTTTGACATATATTCCGGTTTTTTTCGCTAAACTCAAAATTTTGGATTTATAAATATTTTCCCAAAAAAGTCAGTTTTTTGGATTTTTTTTTGCCAAAATCCAAAATTTTCAAAAAACTGAGATAGCCATTTGATAGACAAAGTAGAATCGCGTATAACCTTTTTTGTTACGTCTTGATTCCTTTAAAAATGAAGATGTTAGCGGCGTTTGAAATTTTGCCGTTTTTGAGGCGAAAATGGCGAACATGACGTCACTAAAATGTCAATTTCTCAAAAATTTTCCGACGGATTTCGCTCAAATTTTCAGGGAATGTGTCAAATTGATGTATGATAAGGTACTGAAAGTTTGACGTCGCTGGCGTAACGCGTTTAGAAGTTATTGACGAAAAACGGGAGGGGGGGCAGATTCTGCCCCCCCCCCCCCAGCGGGGCGCGGGTTAACGGCGTCTGGTGAAGTGAAAGTTGAAGACTGTCCCGTCCAGGCGCTTGGCGGATTGAAAATAAACTACACACCGTCATAACTCATAAATGGGCTGAAATTATGTTTCATAAGAATATTACACCATTCAATTATGAGCGCTGCCGCTACGTAAATACGTTGCTATAATACGCCATTTACGTTGTTATAGGCATGTGTTTGGTCTTATTTCCTCAGTCAATTTCCCGTTAATTTATTTGCCATTTTTAATTAAATCAAATGCAATGCATGATTTACCTAATTGACCGGAATAAACACTGCCAAAATGAAAACACTGTTGGCCTGTTTTATCACATCCCTTCAGAATCACTAATTCCCCCGAAACTTCCGTTGCCCCTCGTAAGTGACCCCAGCCCTGCCCTGGTAACCCCGACCCTCTCCTTACCCTGGACGGTGGCTGAGCCGGCCCTTTCCAGCCGAGTTGTGATGGTGCGTCATAGCGCCTGCCGACGATCGTCTGAAAAGCGCGGTTTACATAGCGATTACGATTGATTCATCGTGGGTCACACCGAAGCATAGTGAGGTCAGCATATGATACGTGACGTCGCTTTTATAGGTAAGGTATACGCAATCGCTGGGACAGTTACCGACGCATACATTCTTTAACCCAGTCATAACCCAGCGTAAAATTCGATTGTAAATGAAAATGAAATTTCTCTCGGCGAATAGCTCAGATAGGTGATGATGGGATCAGCAGCCACTCCTCACAGGTATAGTTTAAATAAACACTATGCATCCCTTTGCACCAAGTGCTCAAACAAGCAGCCTGAAAAGGCAAAAAAAAAAATACTGCATCCACTCACCGGAGCACAGCCCCCATCGCTACACTTTTCTACTTTCTACGCCGTGCTTTCTGACACCCTACACTGGACTACGAAGATAGGTATGCCGCGGGCGACACCGCACCGTTTGCGCCGGCCTAGCAGCGAATACTAAGGAATTCGTACCAACGGCACGCCGCAGCGCACCTTTATATTTCATAAACCAGCAACTACAGTGGGAACGGGGTTGGCGTTCCTCGTTTGCAGAAGGTCCGAAGTATTACGCAACTAGCGAATAGCTCACGCAATTCCCAGCAGAACCACGGGGACATTCTTTTAATGTTTGCTTGGGACGCATAGATCAGCGAGTGATAAAACTTTGGAAGCTTTGGAAAATAAACTGTGTGACAGTATGGTGACATTAACAATGCAGGTTGCTTAAACAAAGTAGGCACCCTGTCCATTTCCAGCTTTATATAAGCTACATAAAGCTAGCTATCGAATTGCGCCGAAACCGACAAAACTAAGCAAGTTGTCATACCAATTTGCCAAAAAGCATATTCAAACGTCCCTACACCTTTACAGCATGCATATCAGAGTCAGTGGTCGTTATGTGGGTAAAAATATAGATAACAGGTACACAGGAAGGGTAAAAATATCGAATTTTAATATGAACAAATCACAATTTAGACAGCTCATGACCCTGAAGTCTCGTCTTTCGTGCATAATGCAGCATATACCGGGTGCGAGGCGTCGTCTGTGGTTCCGAGTTCAGTCGCCAGATGTCTCTGGGCTCCTCCACCAGGGTTCCTCCGGCGTACGACTCTGGTCGTCTCGGGCGAGCCGCGTGCGAGTGACGGCGCATTCTACAACAGAGACGAGTGCAGAGGGCCATGTGCAGCGTGCAGGGTACAGAGGGAGAGAGGTGGGGTGGGGAGATGCAGAGGGAGGGGGCAGAGTACCGTACCGCCACCGCTACCATCACCAGTGTCGCTGGCACGGGGCACGCGAGGGAATACTAAATACTGAAGCCTCGAGACACCCATGACCCAACGATGCAGAAATCGTAAGAAAAAATGACATGCTAAACCTGATGCAAATGATGGATACATTCATATCATGCTAAGAGGTTCCATCCCATGAGAGCCACTAACTAAATGTAAAAAAGTAAGACGGTGAAAATAAACGATAACGAAGTAAAACTACCCGAATCAAATCCGTGAGCGCCTGGCGAGCATAAATAGCAAACAACATATTTTCAAAAGCCAAAACCATCACCGTGATCTACACACGAGCAGCGGCGCAGCAGCTGGACCTACTTGACTTGCTGTGGAGTATGGCTGACGGCCGGCGAGTGCCGCTGCTGCTGGTGCTGGAACTCTGTCGCCGAGCTCCATCTCTTGGTGAGACTGGCAGTTTTGTTTGGCAGGTGGCGCTGCTGTCGCGCGGCGGCGGCCGTCGGGCTCGGCGAGGTGGCCGGGGAGACACTGTTGCTGCTGTGGCCGTCCGAGTGCAGCGAGCCCGTCGACTCGTGGTGCCGGAACCGGTGGCTGGAACAGACGCAGAAAAAAAAACTCAGCTTCGCAGCGTCTGATTGATTGCTGGCAGTACAATCAGCTCGACAACCCAGCAGGGTGCCTGGATCACAGGCAGTGATCTGCGGAAAATGCCGCACTATTCAACAAGGATGTGTTACAATAGGCTCGGATCATGTCATAGAAAGAGCGGAAGGTTTCCTGAGAAACATTCAGCCGGCACCGTTAGAGACTGTTTTCCCTGCAGGAAAACATGTCAATTTAATGTAATTCCGCGACAATGTGATCACACCTCGACGAAAGTTCTAACCAGGTCAGTCGCAAGTGGGCACAATTTTGAGATATTTCGTTGTTTTGACATCGGTGCAAATAAAGGTAGTAACTGTTGGTCGCTCGGCATCCCAGCCACTGCAAGGCATGATCCTATACATTATACAAAGCGTAGAAGGTGCTTGACAAGTGAAGCTTTGTGCCCGTAAAGGCGGTACACTTCAGTACGCTGACCAACATCTACAGAAAGTACCTAAGTTGTGGCTTTGCTGACCACCGAAGCGCAAGACATTATCTGACACCGTATTTATTTTCCAGCGCATATCTTTAAACAGACCGACGACTCGTGTGACGATTTAAAAAATCTGCAAATGAATCCTTTATCGGGAAACCCACAACAAGTTGCTGGAATTACCACGTCGCGACTTGTTCACTGCACTGAAACGCGTCGGATCACAAAGACACATCAGCGCATGACGACTGTGCCATCCCGCCTGGAGTGTAAAAATGGCCCCGCGCAGGCCGCAACCGTCCGGCATAAGTCGTGTAAAACAAGGCACCTACACGCCCTACTCTTGTTACAGGGTGTACATACGGTAGCTTTAGATCGCACCTCATTTATAACGCTTGTCTTTTGACATGATATATCGGTACGTCACGGAATGTAGTACCTATGTGGCAAAAATGTAGGTACATCTATCATATATTAAAATACCTACACACTACAGAATTAAAGGACCTTGATCAAATTCGTAACAGAACATATCCCACGGGAGTATGGTTTACAGATAATTCTCGCCAGATTCTCACATCAACATATGTGGCGACTCATGCATCATATTACAAGTTTCATCATACTCGTGAGTCGTGCATTACACCCCCTACACTCCATACTTGCATCACCCACTGAACCTTAGCACTCACCTGTCTGGGACGCTGAGTTTCTTTTTGGGCGCCTCCAGTCTGGCGATGCCGCTGTGTTTTCCGTTGACGAACCGCTGGGCCGGGGCGCGCAGGCTGGACAGTGCCGGGGACGTTTTACCGACCGCTGGGGACCGGTAAACCAGCCGGTAATCAGACCGATCAGCGGCAGGTCAAAGCGCCGGACGACTGTGTGATTGCATGGTGCAAAATGCAAAGGTACACACCTACACTCTACAGATAAAACCACTGGGCCTTGCCAGTTCCATGTCTCCACAAAGGTGCACCGTCTAAAATGAGCAAGACTTTGAAATAGCACCGAACAAGGAATGCATTTGGGGGGCACAAAAACAGCGGTGTCGCCTCTCCCATTATCTGCACAGAATGGCCTTGACATCGTCTGCAGCTGGAGTGTTGCGTTTCCTTTCTCCCTCGCCATTCCAGAAAGCCTCAGGGTACCAGGCCATTCCTCTCACCTGAGATCTGTTTCTTCTACCTCTCCCATTGACATCCCACGAACACGTCCTCCCCTTGTTCCAGCTGTCCCTCCATCCTCCTGCTGACCTTTGAGACTTCCACACTGACCTCTGAGACCCTTCACCTGTCCTCACTGACCTCTCAGGCTCTCCCCCACTGACCTGAAACCCCCTCCCCACTGACCTCTGAGACCCTGCCCACTGACCTCTCCAACGCCCCTCCCCAATGACCTTTGAGACCCTCCCCACTGACCTCTCAGACCCTCCACCTGTCCCAGTCGTCGCTGCAGATCAGTCACCGTGCTCTTCAGCACGGCGATCTCGGCGTCCTGTTCTCGGACGAGCCGCTCCAGGTCGAGCACCCTCAGCGGTAGACCGGACACGTCCGCACCCAGAGGGTCATCTGAGGAGGAACGGAGAGAAATTGACGTGAGACTCGGGTGAGGCTGAGAAAAGGTGGGGCAGTTTGAGCATGAGGGGCATCGATCATTGCATCGGTGCTAGTTGTACGACTTCTGAACTGCAGTGTGTCGAAGGAAGAACACACGCATACAATCACGCACGATAAACGAAATAAGATTTCATGACTCAATGACCAGTGGGTTTAGCTTACAAGGCCAAACATACATACACGGGCGAAGTCGCAGCATTTTTTGGATGTTGGATTGGCAAAGGAGACACAATGCATCTGTTATTATCAATTGATTTACTGCAAAGCCAAAGGCGATGCAGTGTTGTAACAAGCTCATGTTGTAACAAGTGACTGGTAAATTTGCACTGTTTTTTTTTTTTTTTTTTTTTTTTTGACGAGGCGAGGCAGATATAGCTCAAACGTATCAACAGTAGTGTTAGTGTCGAATACCAAAACAAAGTTTACTATAATACTATATTTTACCATCTTGCAATAGTTTACTATATTTCCCATCTTACTTACTATAATACGTTGGATGAAGCAGTATTGTAGCCTACTTTTATGCGCAGAGCGAAAGTGAGCGGCCGATTATTATAATACCAGCATTACCTACATCCATTCCGGCTCCGAGTTCAGCGATTCACATTAAAGTTACAGAATTACACACGCTTTGTCGAAGAAAAATAACATTTTATCCGTCGGTAAAAGCCCAGATAAAGCCTTGATACCGTTCTGGTACACTCATGGTGCCCGCACTTGCAGGAATGCACTTTGAACCGGTTTTACATGATGCGCTTTCCTTTCAACGCCAGCACTGCGGCTATTCACCTTTGCTGTACACGGAACCGGGAACTGACCGGTATGTTAGGAGCTTCTGCTCGGGTCCAGAATCTATACACACCACTGGTATACGAGAGCTTCCGCCAGCACCCACTCTTTTCTGGCGTGTTGCCGATCTAAAAAGATCACAGAGCACTACATTTCACGATGACAATGCTAAACCTTTGCACAGCACTCAGCAGTAATCGTTGCTGCTGCCTGCTGTTGTCTAAAATATCCATTGCCATGGTCAGTTAGATATTCAAGACGAGAACTAGGACGATATAAAACGTCTGCAGACATTGCACTACTTTCCCGATCACGACATTATCAGAAACTGATCGTGTCACGAGACATAGATCACGAAAACGTAATGCCAAAGTCATGCAAAGCGAGCATGATATATACTCCACCTCCACCTCGTTTCCAGCATATCTCTGCAGAGGATATCAGCCCTATCACAGTGTCCAGGCCACCTTCTAGTGACCCTGGGCCTGCAGAATGCAGAGCCGTGCCAGTTTGGCCATGGTCCCGCCCACGCCCTCTGACAGGAGCGCCTCACCCGCCGCGGGCAGACCGCTCGCCAAAGCCGCTCAGAAGATAAATGTCCTCACGGGCCGTGTCACCAGGTTTGGTTTGTTGATGGCCACCAGACAGTGCCATTCTCAACAGACGCACCGCCCGCAGTGCACTGCACAGCTCTACAGCCCATAGAGACAGTACAGTCACACAGCTGTGGTGTGCCCCAGGGCAGCGTCGCAGGTCCATCCTGATTTGGTGGAGATTATCCGGTAACGAGTCGGGCTGCTTTCACTGGAGCTGATCTAGAGCTGCATCAGTTTTATTATCTGTATGGTGTAAAGAAATGTTTGTTAGTCACTTATAGCAGTACCTAACGGAGCAAACAATCATCGCTAGTCATTCGTGGTTGATGGGTTTTCAAATGCAGAATCCTCGTAGCTTTGTACATCCTGCTTCATGGGAACAGCATAAACGGTACTAACACGACTTCTGCTAATCAAAACAACTGACAGACACTCGAACGCCAATCCTCAATATTTGACTCACACAAACAAAACATTCACTTTTGCCTCTCTGGACAATGTTTGTCAACCCTCTCGCTCCTTAGCACAAGCACAGACTCCCGGTCTGCTCAAGCCCACGCCGTTCTCTCGCATACAGTCTCTCACCAGAGGCACGTCCCATGAGCCGGAATGTGACGAACCTCACAAAAAAGCGCTGGAGCCATCTGCTCGGCCTAGAGAGCAATTATAAAATGCCGGTTCTCACAAGCTTTTGGGAGGATCACGTCACGAAGCTACGGCAGTCATCGTGAGTCATCACGAGTTATCGCGGATTCATACAACACGGCCAAAGAAAAGTCACGAAGTGCCTTGCAGCATGACCTAGTCAGACCCGAGCAGAAAACTGTTTGGACAATATCCCGACAGTGAAATCGCCTCAACTGCACTTCAATTGGGAGGAAGAGGTGTCGAAAACCGTCTCAGAAGCCTTGCTTGTAAAGGTTGTCCTGTCCTCTCCACGGCAAAAGTGAAATGAATTATCTAAAGACCAAAAAAGTAAGTATAACGCAACCTGCAACATAATCGACATAATCATGGAAGTTTTGGCTTAGCTCGCCGCAGACAAAAGAAACAGCTGCACGAACATTCTAAGCACGAGGTTTGCAGCTCGCACCACAAACTGCTAGCTATTTTCAGAACGTTCCATTTCATTGCTTGACAGCAGCTTCCTGGAACCACTGGAGTTAGATCACGCTGCAATATTATGGACTCCTGAGAATTATGGACTCCTGAAAGTGTTACACAAAGCAGACACATCTAACCACAAAGCATACAGAACACAGCTACACCACCACCAGAGTTGGTGTCAGCGATTTCTGAGACTGTAAGAGGACATGTGTATGCACATTGTTTACCCATTACGTAAATACAGCCACACTAATTGTGCAAATAAGTACCTATAATGTATTTGTATAATGTAGAGACGGGCGATCTTCGGTCATGACTGAGAGTACTGGCAGTCAGAGGCCCACAGACAGCGATTGCGGGTCGCGAGCAGTAATCCAAACTTCAATGGTCAGTAGTTAGTAAAATGAACCCATTGCTTACGGAAAAACAACGTCGTAGTAAGCCATCAAAATAAACATACTAGGCGAACAAAAATACTGTTAACTTCGAAAACCGGTAATAATACAAAAAGTTCCGTTATGTGGGTGAAAGGAGGAACCAGGGCCTATTTTAAGACAATTGGACTGGGGTGGCCAGGCAGTGGTGGCGCCCCTGTCTCTTGTGTGGGCGCCCCCCCCCCCCAACTTTCAATTTTACTTTCAACCAACTTCACCCCATTGTTGCTTGTAGATAAATATAAATATCTCGCCACGCCACTGCCCCGAGACGCTGTCCAGATTTTGAATCGCTTATGGCTCTGTAGTCTGTACCTATGCCAAGAAAGATGCATTGCTAACCAGTGTTGTAGCTAGTTCATAGGCGGCGGAACGGGGGGGAACCTGGGCACCGTTCCCCCTTTGATTTTGGCATTAACCCTCGCCCGGCGAGGGGGGGGGGTTGATGCAACCCCCCTAAGGTTTTTCGCAAATAACGTAAAAACGGCGGCGCATGGTGCCGTCAAATTTGGCATACCCTCTGGGGCAACATTTTCGCACCTTTCTTGAAAATTTGAAGTCCCAGTCTTTTCAGGTCAGGTCACCAGGTCACAAAAACCGGTACAAGGTCAGGGGAAAATTGGACTAGCTTAGCGGCAACTGAATTCCAGAGTTCGCTTAAATTGGCAACAAAGTATACCATTCGATGCGCACGGACGTCCTGAGTTCACTGGTGCGTTTATTTTTGCTCTATCTTTACTAGGTAAAAAGTTATAAGCGAAAAACTTTTGACATGTTTTAGCAAATTTTTTGCACTCATATCCCCCAAAACCCCCCTAAATCTTGACTTAGAGTCACCAAACTTTTACAGGGGCGAGATCTCCTATGGATCCACCTACTCTGTAAATTTGGCGTTTCTAAGTGCCATAGGAGCCAACACAAATCTTGAAAATGATAGTTCTTATCTGAAATATATGCTCATTAGATATTCAAGTAGGTTGCTCCTAAATATTGTAGTTCTAGCTTCAAAAACATGGATGTTATGAATGTCGATAGGTTTCGCGAGGCTACACCGGCCGGATCGCCCACTGTGCAGTGGTGGTAGGGTGCCTCGTGGCGGTGGGGTGCACCAGAAACTTAGGGCGCCCCAGCACCAGCGGAACGTCACATTATGTGTTACGACGCCCCAGTAGTGGTACGGTGTCCCATCACCGTTCCGTGCTTCTATCCTCAGGATACAGAAATCCTTCTCCTCCACGCCGCAACCCCCCTCCGGGCTGGACAGGCAATTTTATCTCATGCAGGCTGCTCCCTTGGAGCGGCACCGCTGCTACCGAGGGAGCGCACCCCGTAGCCGGGTGCAGTGAGTGCCTTGGGGCTGGGAGGCCTGTCCTCTGGACGGGCTCAGCCCCGGCGACTCACTAGGGTGCCTGCCCAGACCAATGTCTCCCCCTATGTCCTATCAGCCTTCCGGCTCTGAAATGGTCTCATTGGACCGAAAGGGCCTAACCCAACAAAACAAACAAACAGTGTCCCATTTCTGATAGGGCGCCCAAAGGTGGTTGGCGCCCCAATCGTGTCTGGGCGCCCCAATGTTGATAGGGCTCTTCAGTCATGGTAGGGTGCCCTATTACCGGTAATGTGTCCCAATCAAAGTAGGGCGCCACAGTTGCGGCAGGGCGCCCCCAGTAGTGAGAGGGCACCCCATTGGTGGTGGTGGCGCCTCAGTGAGCCCTTTTCCCCTGTCAACCTGAGTTGCGCCTCAAGAATGTGTCGCCTCCGTGATTGTCGGCAGCTAATATCTGTGGGTAGAAGTTTGGGCTGTTTTTCACTGGGGTGGCAAAGTAAGACGACTGGGGGGTGGAAAACCGCACCACTGGGGTGGGTTTTGCCACCCCAGTTAACATGTTAAAATAGGCCCTGGAGGAAACCGCAACGAAACCGGACCGGATGTGTTTTTGGCAAAAAAAAATGTTACAAATAGTTTTGGGCAGAACAGAACCAAAACAGCAAAATACACAAGTTCCGTGGATTTTACTACGATGAA